GACAGATAAAATGAGGGAGGGAGGGTCTTCTGCAGGTGTTGGACTTGAGGTCAACTTTAAGTTTACACAGGGTCTTCAAAAAAAAAAAATCATGTAAAATGTGTATTGTATAAAAATACACACAGATTTCCATCTTTTTGCACCAAAATAAACTTGTACTTATTCCATTTTCCACTCACTTTTTGAAGTACCGTCATATTCATGGACTTATTTTTTTTAATTATTTCATTTAACTTTATTTATTATTATTATTAGTTTTCAGTTTTGGTCAGAGAGAGAGAGAGAGAGAGAGGGAAAGTGGTAAAGCAAGCCACCAGGTCTAGGACTTGAAACACAGTCGGCCACATAGGAGTCCAGCGCCTTTAACCACCATGCCACCTGCAAGCCCATATTCATGGACTTATAAAAAGAAAGATCACAATCTCTAAATTTTGGTAGCTATAGATTTCAGCATCTTGAGCTAGAATGTGCCAGAAAAGAAGAGATAGTGGGGCGGTTGTGTAGTACAGTTATGAGCCAAAGTTCTGCAACCAACTCACCTGGGTCTCAACAGGGATCACCATTTACTGGTTGTCTGACTTTGACCTTCAGACAGCCGATCTGATCCTATTAGGTCATTGGGAAAGCCATGAAATGTTTTTCTATGCGATGACTTTCCCACCATCCCAGTAGTTTCCTCATCTGGAGAACAGATAAGATAATCAAATCTACCTCACAGTGTGTGAGTCAGGATTCAGTAAACTAATCGATGTAAAGCAATGAGCCGAAGGCCAGATTCATAGAAAATATGCTGCAAATGGCAGCTGCTACTATTGTTACCTGTCCCTTTGAGCCTATCTATATTTTATATTGCCAAAGGGCATGTGCATTCACCAGAGAGGGAGAGAGAGAATGAGAAGCACCCCAGTGGAGATACTGTTCCGTAGTAGAGCATTCGACTGCAGGAATCTCCCCCCCCATGGGGGGTAGTCACACCATAATCCTGTTTCCTCCATTTCTGTATCCCATCAAGATCCTGGACACGCATGCACACATGTGCACGTGTTGGCATATTTTGCAGTCTCCTGGGCCCAAGACTGAACTGTAGTTGGCCATGTGGGGATCTGGCTCCTATAAAGCAGGGCTTAACCATTGCACTATGGGCCAGACCCTCTTCAGGCTTATTAATTCTCAGCCAGTAGATCTATCCCACTGCTGTGCCAGTCTCTCAGCCCCTTAGCGTCCTCGCTTCCGCATCCCATCCTTGGTTTGAAGGTTTCCTGGATCTCCTACTCATGTCTCACGGGTTTTGGTCTGTTTCCCCTAGACTTATTTTTTTAAACTGGAATCATCTGTAGACTGATTCAAGTTCACTCAGATGTTACCTAAGCAATTGACTCAGATTAACTGTTCAAGCAAGGTTTAGTCACACCTTCACACAGTGCTTGGAAGTCCTATGTGAAGAAAAGTTATGAAAATGTGGGAAAGCTGTTTGATTTGTTCTCAATTTATATATCTATCTATCTATCTATATATATATATATACACACACATTGCCATACTTTTATTTATTTATAATTACATATTGTCTCATTTATTTATTCATTCATTCATTTTTGAATCTGAGTTTTATTACAGAACATAGCTCTACATGGAAACCATCCCTTGGAAGTAATATTATTTTCATGTAGTGCCACCTAGTGGTTGTTTAGCTGTAGCTGCAGCTGCATCAACTCTCCAGTTGGAGGTTAATGGGCTTGGCTGGTTCTGCTGATAGTAAACCCCAGAGAGTTTCATTAGAGCACAAAGGGCAAGAGGAGATTTCTGGACAAAGTAGATAGGGGCTAGTGTTAGGAAAAGTGAGCGCAAATTTACTGGAGTTCAAATCATACAAGAATTTTTTGTCATTGTGGGTGTAGGGTGTCTGTGTGTGCACGTATGTGTGTATGTATTTGTGTGTGCTTCTCAGCAGCTCCATTTGGGGTAGTAAAACATCAAGCACTCATGAGTTGGAGTTTCATAATGAAAATTTCTGAGTTTGAAACCAGATTCTGACGTTTACTTTGAGGGAATTACTTACTTCAGTCTCCTTATCTTGGCACTCAAGATAGATAATGATGATACGTACTTGTGGGCTTTTCCGTAAGAATCATATAGGTATTTAGATTAGAATCAGATTGGCACGTAATAAGTGCTCAGCAAAAGTGCCAGCTGCTCTCGTAAACAGTGCTGCTACTTTCAAAACCCAGAATGATGACCTCTGGTTCTGTGTGGGGGATGAACCCTTGGATTAGAAGTCAGATTTATTAATGAACTCTTCCCCAACACGTAGATCATGCAACTGAGAAAGCTTTACACATTACTCTGTTACTTCCTCCATGAGTTATTAACACTTCTCTTTTTAAGCTCAGTTATTTATCTCTTCCATGAGACAAAGAGGTGGTAACAGAGAACATCTGCGCCTCCAACAGAGTCCCAGTCCACCTCCATCCCCAGCTAGCGTGTGTACCCGACGCATTCGGGGAGATCTGCCGGACCCCTCACATGTGGGTCAGCCCTGCAGAGCACCACACTCCACTGTCATGCCAGTGTCCAGGCCTGTGTTAACCCTTCCTTTATAGACTCAATACATTACCATTTTATGAAAACTGGAGGAGTGGGAACCAGCAGTTAGCGTAATGGCTATGTCACTGGATTCCCACGTAGTCGACTGCGGTTCGTGTCCCGGACCCGGTGGCTTAAAACTCACGCCGGGCGCGTGTGCGTGCGTGCCCAAGATCCCGAGAGGAGAATGGAGGAGAAGGGATTGCGGCGTGACCATCCCCCCTGGGGGGTAATTTCTCGCTTTCTGTCTCTATGTCTCTCTCTGTCTGTCTGGCGAGCGCACGCGCCCTACAGTGAAAATCTCTCTCAAAAAAAAAAAAAAAAAAAACTGGAGGAGTAAGCTTGATTCAGTACAGCCATTTGTGTCTCTAGAACACCTGGTTCCTGCCCTCAAGGAGCCTATCATCACCTGCTAAGATGCCCTAGTGCCAGGCTGCAGCTACAGGCCAGACCTTGAGCCCAGACCATCGGGACTGGGAAAGTCCAGAATGCAAGAGGCCACTAACTTACCGTAAATAAAAGGAAAAGGGCAAATTCTTAAACTGAAAAATTCCCCCCCTCCCCCCCTGTCTGCTCTCTGGAATGCTGTGCTTGTATGTTAATTGCAAGCATTTCACTCATTCATTCAGAAGATATTTATTACATACCAAATATGTGCTAAAAGCTCCTCTAGTCCCTGGGAGTACATAGTTGTAAACACGGAGCCCCTCCCCCCACCCCGAAGGAGCTTGCAGTGCCATGTGGAAGACACCAAACAGATGTGATGTAATTCTTCAGGGCAGTAACGCTGTGAGGGAAAATGAAGCAGAGTGAGGAGAATGTGCCAGCGGCTGGGTTGCTCCTGTAAGCAGGAGGGTCATGGGGGAGCCATGTGCAATGCATCTGAGCAGAGACCTCTCTGGAATGGGGAGTGAGCCCTGCAGGTATCTGGGTGAAAAGCACTGGTGGAGGAGACAGCCCTTGCAAATGTCCTGAGGGCAGAGAGGGCTTGACCTCCGATGGCCCCCAAGGAGCCCGTGTACCTGCAGGACGGAAGCCAGAGGTCAACGAGGTGACCAGGCCGGATGCCACATGCGTGGTCATCACGTCCTATTGAACTATTTTCAGTGATTAGTGTGGTTGTCGTTTAGGCAACAACCATGATGGCAAAATTCTATTTCAGTAGACGCTATACATCATAATAGGAAAATGAGCATAGTTTGAATATATAGGGGGAAGTAGTTCCGGTATGTCTGGCTTCGTCACTGAAAGCATCGCACCGTATTTATTAAAACCATAGTTCTTGGGTAGAGATGTGCACTCGCATCTCCAGGAGCGCTGTCAGAGATTACTTGTCTGAGCTCCGTCACAGACCTCCTAAAGGCGTCGGCACGTGTGTTTGGGATTGTGGCCCACTGACTGTGATAAGCAAGTCTAGTTAAAACAAGTAAAGAGTTAACATAGTGACGCTACATTCTTTTTTATTTTTCTAGTCTCCAAGGACTTTGTCTCCTACTCCATCAGCAGAAGTAAGTACCATTTGGAACCATTATATCTTTATTTTTTATAATTTACCAAAGGTCATGTATGCTTGCCAGGAAGAAACAGAGAGGGAGAAAGAGAGAGTGAGAAAACACCTGCCATGGGGGTGGTCACACAGCAATCCCTTTGCCTCCATTTTTCCCTCCTTTTGAGATCTTTTTTATATAATTGAAGTGATTTTAGGGGGCCTGTATAGTTTGAGATAGTAAAAACTCCATAGTCTTTTCATGGTTTGTGCTTGAATGCTATGAATCATTTCTTTGTATTAGTATTCTGATCATTTACCACTGACGTTCTGAAGAATTAAGCTCTATTCTTGACCACTTGTAATGATGACACACTTTATCTGGAGACTTTTTCTTTTATTTTTGCCTTTATTTAATTAATTAGTTTTTTAAAGTTTATTCATCATCATCATTATTATTAATTTGCTATAGGGCACATGCATTCACCACAGAGAGAGGGGGAAAGTGAGAAAGCAAGCTGCCAGGTCCAGAATTCAAAACATGGTGGGCCATGTGGGAGTCCAGTACCTTAACCACCACATTACCTGCTGGCCCCTTAATTTATCTTTATAGTCAACTAGGATCAAGCCAAAATTTCCTTGCTCTTTGCTCTCAAATTACACAACGCTGTGATATTGAGGTTTTAATTGAGTCATTATTCATGCATGCTTTCAAATATTTCATTTTTATTGTGTTAGTAAAATCTTCATAGGATGAGAAAATCCAAAAATTCAAAATATTTTTTTGTATTCGTCCAATTTTCTTGACAGTTATTTTGCGTTTGCGTGCGTATGGCTTTTTGTGCTTATTACGTCATATGTTCTTTTTTCTAGGTTTGAACATAGGGGATGTATTAGTGGTGCTTTATATTCCGTTGAACTGATAGGTCATTATTCTTAATTATCCCCCAATTTTTTGAGCATGTAATACTCTGCCTTTATTAACAATGGTATTATTAAAATATTTTAATATATTACCCCTTTGGAAGAGCATTTTAAATGATTTCCTTGGATTGTGTGTTCCAAGGTGAGAAGAATTACTGTTTTAAGGCAACTATCGATCTGTTCTCCGGGAGAACCAGCTGAAATGTCACCAGATAAATGCAGCAAACATTTCAAGCTGGTGATCACAGCAAGGGGAGGCTAGATGTGAAGCAGAATCTGCCTGTATTGGCTACACTCCTGCTTGGAGTCTTGGTTCTACCTTAGTGGGGAAAGATGGTAATACCATGTGGTTGCCTTCCTTCCTCTTATGTGGATCTCAGAACCCACGTGTGTCTGTGGACACACTTTGTGAAACTGAAAAACAGCACTGCGAGAATGCAGGCATAGGAATTATGACCTCTTTTCCTAGAGCTCTATCACTTCTAGAGTTTATAAATTGTTTTCCACTGCCAGAGGGCTTGTGCTTTCTCCAGATAGAAACAGAGAGGGAGAGAGGGGGAGATAAAGCATCTCCCCCCGACCCCATGAGAGTGTGGTCACCCTGCAGTCCCTTCTCCATTTCTCCACTCTGTTGGGATTTGATGCATGTACCCACATGTACCTGGCTTTTTTTTTTTTTTCAAGCCACCAGGGCCAGGATTTGAACCCTGATTAAACATTGTGGGATCTGGCTCCTTTAGTTGCAAAGCTGGAGGGTCATCCCTGAAGTTTCTAATTTTGCATCTTAAAATTTTAATGAATACAAGTTCTGTAGGATTTGAACAAAACACATTAGCCACAGAATGTGCATTTGCATACATATTTATGGACTATGGCCTAAAAAAATACATGAACAAGTAGACTGGATAGTTCCTCCATTTGTGGAACTTGGTTCTGCTTAAGCAGGATGATAATGTGAGTGTGGTTTTTGCTTACACATTTCCATGTTTGTTTCCAGGGGTACCAGGACATTCGGGACCGGATGATCCACCGGTCCACTAGCCAGGGCTCCATCAACTCCCCTGTGTACAGCCGCCACAGTTACACTCCAACCACGTCTCGCTCTCCCCAGCATTTCCACAGACCTGGTAAGGGTGTCTACTCCTGGCGTTCATTGTATGGCAAGGCTATATGACTGTATGATTTTTCTTCCCACTCTGGATCTAAATCTTTCTACCATTCTCCCAGAGCAAAAATGAAAACTGGAATCCAACTCTATTTGATGTCTTATCTTTCCTTGAAACATTGTAATCATGTACAGCTATGTTCATTACGGTTTATTAAATAATTGCATCTTGCCAGTGACATACCGGAAGCAAAGGAGCTATTTATTTTTAGATTTGACAAAAATCTCCTCACTTTGAGACTTAAAATGAAGATCTCCCAAAGAAAATATTGTGTGCGTTTTGTGGGCATAGCAGCATCATCTGACTCCAGTAGTAGCCATTGAGATCCAGGTCCCCCTTATCTGGGCACATGGTGTGACTAAGCATGCTTGGTTAAGCACCTTCTAGGAAGAGGGCTCAGGGTTGTACTAGATAACTTCGGAGATCCCTTCCAAACCCAAGTAAGGTTTTGAATCAGACTTGGAAAACACAGAACATCAGAGACATGCGGTGATAGAGGGTATCGCATAGTAACAGACCAGAGTGGCCTTTACCTGCAGAGAACATTCTCCCTATGGCTACCAGTGGGCATTTTATGTGTGTAGAAGCAGAGGAATGGAGATCCCAGCTCAGATTCAAAATTTCCTGAAAAGCAAACTCACAGGAAAATTTTGGTCATGTAACAGACTCAGTGGTGATGATGTTTGTCTATGAAGACTTCATTTTAAGCTTTTTGCTTCCGGACAAAGAGTTGATGAGCAATCCCCCATTCAAATGCTAACTTATTTTATAAAATATACAGGAAATAAAACCAAGAGAAAGTAACAGAATATAAAAAGGCCATATTCTTTTAAAGTCATGGATTTAACATGTACAGAAGATTGAAACTATTCGATCCATCAGTAACGTGTAATTTTTTTCCAGGCTTATAAGTATTTACTCAGTATTTACTGAATGATAGTAAATTAAAATCTTCACAAATTTTCCTTTTCTTTTCCTTATTGTTTTTGTTATTTTTTTAATGTGCAACTATGTTCATTTTGCTCATGCCCAGACGTGGGTCTCGATTTAAACCTTGGTCTGGGTGATAAGAAATGCTTGATGTCACCACCCTGCATAGCTGTGTCATTGTCAAAGTGGCATGGAGTTATAGCATTGTTGTTCCAGAGGCCCCTGAATGGTGAGGGAGTGGTCAGATGGAAACCCTGTTTCCCTAGTAACACGTGACCTTAGAGCCCTAAGAAGTGTCTATCTGCTCCCACGTTGGTCTGCCCATAGGTTTTAGAACTCTCCCATTCTCCTCCTTTCTCAATATATTACGTAGCTATGTGAGGCCAATTGTTAGGCTTTACAATGATCTTTTGAGGTATACCCTTCCAAAGCAAAACTAGTGGTATTGTGCTGGAAGACCTGAGATCCAAACAGAAACCCTTGTTTTAGATGCCAGATGACAACTCCAGTGCCTGATGACTGGCTTTAGCTTGAATGGTCCTTCCTTCCTCCGAGGCAGCCGAGTTCCTAGTCCCCTGTGCTGCTGTGGTGCAATTTCAGGATCCTAAGTAACTCAGGATTCCAGATAGGTTTCCCTTCTGCGCAGGCGAAGTAAAGGGAAACTTCCGGTGGGATATGTTTGGAGCTGAAAAAAAGAATCTGATCCTGCACATATATACAACTTTTCAAATTTCTTGAAATAATTGTCTCTCTTTTAAACATGTGTTTCAGAGTGTTCTGTTTTGTCAGGTGCTTTTTAAAACAGCTATTGTTAAATGACGTGCCCGGTACTGGTTTAACAATAGCGGGCATCCTCCTGACGGGACGTCCTGGTGACCATTCCGTCTCACCAAAGCCATTTATTCTCAGAGACTGACTGTACCGCCTGAACCTATTTGTAACATCTCCCCACGTTGCCTAACTCTTAGCAGGTGCATCCTTAACCCTTTTTCCTTCCTCCTTTTTCAGACTCCTGATGAATGTTCGTTATTGTTTCCCCCCTTTGGAACAATGCCGCTTTCCCTGCTCCTGTGTTAATTTCTGTTCTTCTTTTCTGTCTCCGCCTTGCCCTGCCCCCGGCTCCTTGCCGCACAGAGCTCTTGTCTCCTGGTGCGCAGAGGGTGTCCTACCTGCGCACCAGCAGCCTCAGCTCCACCCACAGCGACTCCCGCCCCAACCCCCCCTTCAGACACCACTTCATTCCCCATATCAAAGGTAAGGAGGCAGGCTTTCCTAGGCAGCACCCTGCATAGTGGAGATTTATTAGCACCTTGGGGAAGCTAATAAGGTGTATCTCCAAGAACTAGCGCGAGCTTTTGACCTCTCAGCATGCCTGCGTGTGTCATGACCAAGCCCCGTGGCTGTCTTAGAACTGGCATAGCGTCTCTCCTTAGGAGAAGTATGTCATTTCTAAGGGCTCTAGATGAAGAAACAGGAAGTATATTTCAGACCAAGATGTTTCTACCACTTAGATAACTATATATTACTATTTTGTTTTTGTTTCGTGTCAAAAGCAAAATGTAATATATAATCAGAGTGTTTTCCTGGGTTTGATATGCAGTAGGTCTCAGCAGAACCCAACTGTATTTAGTAACAAATTTCTAAACGGTGAGAAGTCATTTAATATGTGAATATGTTTGGGCAGCATAAAAAGGGCTATGGGAATGTAACTGAAATTTCTTTTTGACCCAACTCTCAGAGTAGTCTCCTTTCGATCTGTCCTCATCTCCTCATGATGAAGAAGGAAAGCTTGGCTTTCTGTTTTCTGTGCCTGCTCCCCCCGCTCCGCTCCGTGGCTCTCCTGCTGTTATCCTGTCAATCTTGCTACCGTGGCAGACCTCAGCTGGGGCGCTCCATGTCTTTGGGGAGACAAGAGCCCTGAAGAGGTTATGAAACAGCCATAATTTGAAATAAATATGAGCTCCCAGAGGGGTGCTAACTTTTTCCGTAGTCTTGATTTGAACCAAATTAACCAACAAAAATAGCTGGAGGAGGAAGGAGGAAGCGAGCACAGATGTTATCGAGGGTCTTAAAACAGTCCTCAAGGATTCTCACCCTGTGTTCCAGTGCTCGCTTCACTGACGCGTCAAGTGAGGAGGCTACTGTGCTAGTTTACCAAACTTGTATGGCCCGTCTACCCAGGCTTTTTTTCTTTTTGCTTATTTGGATTTTTGAGCAACTCAGTCGTAAGACGTAGACATACTACACTTGCCAGCATGCAGTTGTCTTATGAAGTTGCCATTCCGGTGTTTGGTATGCCTTGAGATAATATTGCTGTGTGTCCATTGAAGATGCACACCATGTGCTATTCGTACCTGTTTTGTTAAGGCAGGGCACTTTCTAAAATGCTTGACAGATTATTTTAAATGATTAGTGCTAATTATATTTAAGGAGAATTTTTATCATCTAAAAGTTAAGATATTTTAGAGAATATTTGTAAACTAGAAAGGAATTTTTGGGAGAAAAAGGTAAACTGTGTATTTTTTCTTTTTTTTTTTGAAGAGGTTTTTTTCTGTAGGGCACGTGCACTCCCTAGACAGACGGAGCTAGACAGAGACACAGAAAGCGAGAAATCCCCCCCAGGGGGGATGGCCACACCGCAATCCCTTCTCCTCCATTCTCCTCTCGGGATCTTGGGCACACATACACATGCGCCCGTTGTGAGTTTTAACCCACCAGGTCTGGGATGTGAACCACGGTCAACTACATAGGAGTCCAGTGACATTGCCATTACACTAACTGCTGGTCCCTCAACTGTGTATTTTAAAGAGACTTTAATATGGCAACCCTTGGCCAAATTAAGGTTTTGTTTATTTCTCACTTCAAGAGAAAATGCATTTTTCATTCCTTAAAAAAGTAATCTATCTTATTTGATTATTATATGTTTCCTCTTTCAAAGAGATATTTTTGTAGAAAGAAAAGTGTCCTGGGTCCTACAAAGTTATATAGGGGGAGGGGCATCAAAATTTCCTGGAATATTTGTCTCATAAAAAAAACTATGCATGGATTTCAAAAACTTTTGTACCAAAATAAACTTACATCTTCATTCCACTTTTCTACAAACTTTTGAAGTCCCCTCATACCAAGTTTATAAGTTTAGACAATTAATACATCTGGGAATACCAAAGCCTAGAGATACCTTGTGTCTGTGAGTGGCCAAGTAGAGAGATGGAAAGCCCACAGGCACTGCAATCCCAGGTTTGAACGTCATCTCTGCACTTGCTAGTCGTATGATCTTGAGTTGTTCACTTCTCCTTTTGAGAGCCACTTGCCTCATCTATAAATTGGGAATGATGAGGCTCATCTCCCAGTCATTAGGGTGTGTGGAGGTGACGTGTCCAGGTGTGTAGTGCACCGCGGTCAGCGTGGTCTCCTACAGGACTCGTGACTGCATCACTCCATTCGCTCGTCACAGCATCCAGGTGATGCAGGCCCAGTGAGGAGATCTAGCAGCTGACGACCTGGTTCACTGGCTGAGCACTCACAGCGAGGAAGTGACCGTCCTTGGGCGAGACTCAGGCCTCTTCCTTACTCGTGCTTGGTCATGTTAGCTGCATGTGTTTCAGTATAAATATATGTGAAAAGAAACTCTAAAGGAAACTTTTATTTTCCATCTTTTTGTAACCAGAAAATGACATTCTTATTGAGACTAAGACAAAGAACTAATCATTTAAATTACAGAATTTAAATTAATATATTTTTCTTTTCAATAGAACAATCAAATAATTATGAGAGTCATAGTACCTTAATAGTGCTTTATTAAAGATGTAGTTTCATGGGCTAGCCCATGGTGTGGTGGTTAAGGCAGTTAGATCCCACATGGCCAACTGTGCGGTTTGAGTCCTGGACCCCACAGCTTTAGAAACACACCAAGCACATGTATGTATATGCCCAAAATCCTGAAAAGAGGCAGAAAATGGAGGAGGAGCTATAGCAGCGAGACCATTCCCCTTCCCCAGCTCTGGCGAACACATACGCACTCTGGCAAATTA